TAGAATAGTGCAGGACCCAACCCGATAAAATGATTCCCAATAGAATGGTAAAGGACCCGATCCGAGAGAATGATTGAAAAGTAAGTTGTGATATGATATCAAACAATTTCTAAGTGGGGTGGTTCAGGACTTGGTGTGCACAACAAGCCATCACATTGGATGAAACTCTCACATTGCCGCCGCCTGCCGAAAATTGAATCTACGATGTCAATCCAACAATCTCACTCCGTCACCTTTGAGCCCCTCAGACAATCTCAATACTACCAAAATGAAGTTCTTGGATAAAAGGAATCTTTTTTTAAATTTTCCAGAAATGTAATTAATAAGATTTAAACTTACTAAATTACCTCTAGTGATTTTAAAATGGCAGCGACATGACCTGCCCCAATGACCCAATTTACCAATGTCTTGAACCAATTAATTACAGATACCCGACTCGATCCGTTACAGTTATTCGATCTAATCAATTACAGTTACCTGATCGGATTAATCATAGTTAGTTGATCCGATTAATTACAGTTATCTAATCCGCTCAATTCAATTACATTTACACGATCTCAGTTACTAGAGTTATTCGATCTGATTAGTTACAATAACTCAACCTGATTAATTATAGTTATAAGAATCGAATAAGTAATTTTTGTCTACTCATTTAATTGAGACTTTCTTACTTCGTAATATTCATAATTGTGACTATAAATATAGCATTCGATGGTTAAACTAGGGGTGGGCAATTAGATTAACAGTTCACTTTTTTTCGTTTTTGGTTCGGTTTCGGTTTATCAGTTCGGGAGATATTGTACCAAACTAAAACCTTTTGTGTTTCGGTTTGGTTTCAGATTGATTTTGGTTCGATTTGGTTTGAACTTCGGTTTACCAAAGTGAAAATTATTAGGTTCGATTTAGTCCAATCTGATTCGATTCTTGTGTTTATAATTTTATTTGATCATGTTCTATATTATAGAATTACAAAATGAAAATAGTAGTCTATCTCATCTTCTTTTATTTAATATTTAAATAAGATGTTAAGGGAAATAAAAGTTTTTTTTAAAGGATGGGAAATAAAAGTTAAAAATAAATAATAAAACATTATAAATTAACACCTAATTTATCTTACCAAGATTGATGACATTAAAACATTTAAAATCCTTTTGATCATTGGAAAAAATATCGACCTCTCACAAAAAATAAATTTTAGTTGATTAGCATTTATAATAACATACTACGTATAAAATATTAAAAAAAAACTAAATGAACCGGTGGTACAAACATGGTAAAGTTCACAATTTTATTCAACTTAATCCTATAAAATATATTATTCTCATTTTCTATTATTATTGCCAACCATCTTTTCATACAAGTAGAGTAAAAAATACAACAAATACAAATATGTCGAATTATTTAATTTTATCATAATGAATGTATTAAATATGTAAAAGCTAAAATAATATTTGCTAACCATGTTAAATTATTTATTTATTTATTTATTTATTTATATCCTAAAGATGAAGAGTGAAGATAAATATATAGTATATATATGTGTGTATATAGAGAAATGATCCTGTCCAGCAGCCCCCGGTCCGAACAGTGTCCGAACATGGCCATTTGGGGCACTTCCCGATGAAATTTTTTGATGAAATTTTTTGAGCATGTTCCTCATCAAGTCTAGTTTGTCCATACCAAATTTCAGCTCAAAATTCGATCGGGAAGGCATTCAAATCATTTTTTGAAGTTGACTGCGTCAAAATGTACATGTAAAAACTCAGTCAAAAACGCAGGACAAACTAGACTTGATGAGGAACATGTTCAAAAAATTTCATCAAAAAATTCCACCGGGAAGTGCCCCAAATGGCCATGTTCGAAAACTGTTCGGACCGGAGGCTGCTGGACAGGATCATTTCTATGTGTATATATATATATATTATAAATTGTTCGGTTTGATTTACGATTTTTCGGTTTTAAACCAAATCAAATCATGAGCAATTTGTTATCAAACGATTTACTTAAATAAACACAAACCAAACTATCAATTTTTGGTTTAGTTCAATTAAACCAAATCATTTTGCCCAATCCCTATTAAGAATGATGATCTGAATTTGATAATGAAATGAAATGGTACTCGGGAACCGAAACTAACTTAATATTGAGGGACTAAATTTGAAAAAAAAAAAAAGGAACGACGCCTGAGAGATTCGAACTCTCGCGGGGAAACCCCATGTACTTAGCAGGCACACGCCTTAACCACTCGGCCAAAGCGTCTTTGTTGACTTTATTTCACCTTCACCACATATATTGAATAACGTGTCAGATCATTATCCTCACGACTTTAACTCATTGCGTTTAAACATCCTCGTCTCATCTGCTTAAATAATGTTAAACCGTTTGTGATCTACATAGTACATATATTCACGGTGTGAATTGTAAATTATCTCCTAGTTTAAAAAACCGCATTAAAGTTGCTCTTTTTATGGAACGCATTAAAGTAAGTTTTGTTTCGGTTTATCACCACATTCATTTCAATATTATTACTAGTTTTGTGACGCACGTTGCGCGAGAGTTAAATGTCCAATATAATGCAAGAGAGTGCAATTGGTTGATAAATAAATTGTAGTAATTATGATTAATGCATGTGAGGCCATTTTAGGTGTTGGGATATTGAGTCGGCCAAGCGGTGGGCCGACCCAATCTCATTAAACCCATCCTTCATGCACTTCCTAGATACCCCCTCTGCCCCTGCTAACATTGTCCTATTTCACCTTCTCAGGAAATCCAATTATAATTGTCGTAATCAAATTTGGTAAAATTTGTGTGGATCTAAAGGATTCTTACTTTATCAAATCTATATCAACCATATAAACTCACTTTTCTTATTAATTGTGTGACTTCCTTGCGTCCCAATAATAGTGGGACGAAGGTAGTAACGAGTAAAAGGGTGGATGGTCCCATCATGGCCCGAACGAAATCATAGGCCGGCAGATCCTCGTGGGCCAAACGGAGCCAAAGATATTGTCAAGCCAATATATATGAGTTGCGTGTTTGGCAAAATTGGCGGAAAACCACAATTTTGGCAAGAGGTGCATTTAATGTAGAGCATGGACTGAGCAAGTGATTGGTGGTATGCATGGGCAACGACAATGTGACGAAGGAATGGATAAATCAGTAGGGAGTTGACACGCAGGGAAGCCCATACCCCGGAGTAGTATAAATACTCCCCCATTTACAACGTGAAGGGGTAGGTGAAATTGCATTGCACAGGGGCGGAGCTAGGGCACTGGGCCGCACTGGGCCGGTACAAAGAATATTTTTGAAATTTTTCATACACACGCCATTAATTCTAGCCGGTGCAATTCAGCCTTCAAATTTCATTTTTTCCGTCACTCCTTTTATAATTTTCCACATATACTCCACATATACTCCTTCAAACTAATAATCCAACCTTTTAACAGTCTTCTTACAATAGTCTCACTTTTTCGTTATTCAAGAATAATCCAACCTTTGCACCTCATCTTCAATCGCCGGTCCCTGACCGGTTAATGACTTGTTATTCCAAATTATTTTCTTATCTTTGCAAAATATTATCATTATGAAAGGTGAGATTTACGGTATAATGGTTTGCAAAGATAATGAAATAACTTGGAATAGCATGTCATCGACAAGTCAGAGACCAGTGAATGAAGATGAGGTGCAAATGTTAGATTATTCATGAATAACGAAAAGGTGAGACTATTGTAAGAATACCGCTAAAAAGTTAGATTATTAGTTTCCATTTTCTTTTTTTTTTTTCTTTCTCTTTTTCACTATTGAATGCACGGAAGAAATGGTTTGCCGTGCTCCCTAACGGTGTGTAGTGTAACAGAGAAATATCAAGACATATATGACCGTACAACACTTTAATCTATAAGTACTACCGTGTAAAAAGCATTAAAGGTACACCAGCATTTTTAACATCTTCATTATACCATTACTCCCATTTCGTGCTTATATTATTTGTTAGATTTAAATAAAGTAGGCACTCTATTTTAATATCTCCATCCTATTGGATTTTACTGATTTCCTTTTAAAGTAATGAATTTGTGGTTCGTGAAGAACATGTTTTTTCTTAGTATTATGAAGACTTAAAGATTGGAAACATGGTATATGATACATTATAAATGTACATGAACAGTGAATGAAGTATGAATATATTAGGGATATTTTAATGCATTGCAAAGAATAAGTTTTATGTTTGCATTACCTTTTACATTGATGTACAAAAACTAAGGTATGATATTAAGATGCATGATAAAGCAAATCTCATAATTAAAGAGTGCCAAAGCATAACAAATATTTGACAAACTTACAATCACTTACAATCACAAACGCTCCTTAAATTAATTTGGTTAGTTTTAACTCATAATTAAGGTGCCAAAGCAACATCCATAATTACATCAACAATTCAACATACAAAAAACTATAGTATTCAATTTCTCAATGAATCAAAATCACAAATCACAATTTCATTATATCGAGATTATTGGTATAATTATTTAATACTTTAATTTATTGTAATATAGGGGTACCATAATGTACCCTAGGCCCTACTCAACAGTGCTCTAGTCGAGTAATAATGAAAAATAACTAGAGTATGCTTGATACATTAGTTGAAAATATACTTTCATAATTTTTTTTAGTAACAATTAGTTTTTAATGTCTGAAAAGTTCTTAAAACAAAAAGGTAGTATTTGTATGACAAAAAGTTTACTTTTTGATTTAGTTCTGTTTTGCATAAAAATTGTTGAGATTAATTAATGTTAAAAGTTATAGACTTTTCTCAGATACTTTTTCTGTAACATTTCAAAAAAGATCTTTAATTTTTTTTTTTAAAAAAAACTCTTAAAATTTGGTATACCAAATGTTAAAAACTTTTTAATATACAACTATTATTTCTTAACAAAAGGAATAATTGTATAATAAAAAGTCGAATATTTGATTTAATTTTGTTTTTAATCTGAATTTGTGTCCAAAAATGTAATCTCAAATCAAGTATCGACATTGTTCAAAGACCTCAAGCAGGTCGAGCCTGCAGTGACACTGCCGCGCTCTGCCGATTGGAATTGCTGAAGGCTTGGATTGCGATTTGCGAAGGGGGCTGAAGTCGGAGCGCTCCCCTGAATTCCTGAAGGTCGATGGTTCGGTAGCTTGTTGGTCTAACTTTTTAAATTCTTCTGATCTTAACGTTTCACTCAAGGATACATTGAGCTCATCAAAGAAAATCTAAATCGGCCTCCAGACGGTTATCTTTTTTCTTCGATGGTAAGATTCATGCATCTCTATGAATTGATAATACATCTGTTCATCAGGAGTGTTGACAAGAAAATGAGGCGCCTGCTGAAACTAATAGGTTTGGGTTGTCTGGTGTTTGACGTTTGAGTTGAAGCAGCTTATTATATACTGAGCAGGATCTAATTCTTGCCCTTGTTAATGCGTTATTTACAGACCGTTTGTTAACTATGAAATTCTTTGAATCAACTGAACTGTTGAAATTGTTGTGCTTGAAAGAACTCAATTGGCTGAATCTTCTCAAATATGGAGAAATTATATTTAAAATATATTACTAACAGAAAAGAAAAAATATATGGAAATAAAGCTGGATTTTTCTTCTTCACTGAATTCAGCCATAAAACCAAACCAGCTTGTGAAATCAAAAATTGATTGAGAAGCTGAAAAAGTGATTACCAAATAGGCCCTTATCCGACATGAATTACTCTTGTAGCACCTTGTAGCACTCGGAATATGTAAAACTGGGTTGCACCGGCATTGATCAGTTACAACTTACAAGGCAATCAACACTGTTTGCTAACAAGTTAGATGTTTCTTACAAATCAATGTGATTGTTTAGTTACAATACTCTTCCCTAATTCCCCTGACAAGGTAAAAATTCTAATTTTGGGTTTATACACTATTGGTGGGTGATTAGTTTATGTGATCAATTTGTTAGGCAAACTCATTGCGGTTATATCTTACGTGCATAAGGAACACTCTTGAGGCGGCCATGTGTCTCCAGGTATTTGCAACTTCCTTTCTGGTATTCTACTGATTATAATAGCTTCATTTGCCATCTCATTAGCTACTGACCATCTGAGCGTCGTCAAATCTCTTTCAATGTTAAATTATTACAATTAAATGTTCAGTGTTAACTGTTGAGGCCTGATTGCATGGATTTTTCTCAGCCTATTTTTTCTTTCCATCTAATTCTGTGAGGCATTTATGTAATTTGTAAAAATGCTAATTGAATGATGATAAGTATGTGTGTTAGCACTTGAGATTAGGACTCACTTTTCTTAGTAGTTGTAAGTCTTCCTTGTATGTTTTGTCACGGTTTAGTCTTTATGTTATAATAATTCTACAGGGTAATATTTATTGATTCCCCCGATTATAATAATGCAGCAGTAACACTTCCGCAATTCGCAGAAAATTCTAACGATAGTGAAAATGCCTGTCGTATTATTTTGAAGGCGAGAAGAGACTAGTAAGATGAAATGGCCTTTGAATCCCAATTTCAGATTGAAACCCATGTAATGAACTTAATTTTAGTTAAAATGAAAAAGTAAGATCAATTGAAGGGCAACCTTATTAGACTTCATTATCGATGCTAGATGAAATTGGCACAATGTTATTGCTTTCCCTTTTTCTTTTATAAAAGTTCATAAGTATGATGTCATACCACAGGCTTGGCCAAAATAACCTTCTAATGCTTGTGCTGATTGCAGAACTTCCCCTGTCAAGAAGTTGAAAGACATAACAAACCAGAGGTTGAACTAAAGTATGAATTCATGTTTCATCGTGTATATTTTACATTTGTGTTATCGATCAGGGGTGCACTAACTCATCATCATGTCAGCCTTGGTGCTAATAATTTCTACATGTCAAATAAAATAGATCAATTATAATTTATAAATGGATAGGGGCTATTTTTAGATGAATTTTAAAGCAACAAGAAAGTTGTATGCAGGGGTGGAGACAGGCGGGGGCTGTCATTCCCTAAGCCCCCACTATATAAATTCCTTAAGCCCCAGCCCCCATAACCTGCCATTCCTGGCTCCGCCACTGGTTGTATGCCCCTGTTATGAAGATCCCTTGAAATGTTTAGATGCTCAGTCATATTAGATTTTGAAACTTAAGCAGTGATTAAGATTTTGTATATTATCATCTTCCCATTACAAATTTTCTTCGATGTCATATGTTTATCTGCCCTATTCTCAGTCATATTATTATCCGACCCCCCCCCCCCCCACCCCACCGTAGGTGGGAGCCTTTGCGGCACTGGGGTAATGATGATGACGATGATGTCATATGTTGATTCATATTAGCTAGCCCCAAACACTTTTTGGGATTAAGGCTTGGATGTTGTTGTATTACAAATTCTCTCCATTCCACTGTCTCTAACTTGTCATACTCAATGTTTAGCTTATATATCTATAATTCTATACACATATTTTAATTTCTTGAATGTTGTCTAAATGCAGGAGCAGCCAAGAACTTCTACTCAATCCTGTAAGTGCTCAGCTAAGTTGTATTTACATTTATTGTGTTATTCATTTGAATAAGCTTTGTGCATCTGATGTATGCCTCTTCATCTCTTACTGAAATTTGACCTATTATGTAACTTCTTAAAAACATTGACCTCTGAATTTGTGGTTGTGGTTGTGGCTTATTTGACCCCTTGAATGATTTTACCATCATATTTTTCCTTGAAAGATTGAATGAATTGGCCTCTCTACCATCTTTCAGGTTTTGATCTGCCGAAATGAGGCTGAAAAATGCTTGATAGAAACCTCTATTAATTCACTGAGGATAAGCCTCAAGGTACTGGTAGCTATGTGTATGTTTTGCTTTCCGTTTCTCTGCACAAATCCTCAATAGTATAGTTACACACTGGTGATCATCTGCCGAATACATATCCTTCTGAATTTAATGTTTTAAAGATGCAAACAGAGGTTGTTATTTGAGCTATGCTCTGTCACTGAGAGGGCAGAAATGTAAATTTGGCTGTCACAAAAAAGAAAGGGTTAAACTGAAAATGAAGCCTAAAAGCTTTCAATTCCTCTAAAGGTATTATATCCATGTTGTATATAGGTAAAGCAGTCAGATGAACTTGAAAACATATTAGCGAAAAAGTTCCTCAGGTTTTTATCAATGAGAGCAGAGGCATTTCAGGTACTTCGGAGAAAGCCAGTACAGGTATGTGTTGCTTCCTTGTGTGAAAAACTTGAATTTCTTCCTTCAGACACATTTAGGATGTTTTTCATTGAAATTTTCTGGTCTGGTATGGTAGATGTCTGATCTATTTTCTATGTGTATTTTACAATTGTCGATGACTTGTTGGATTTGTTTAAGTCTGTTATGGTCTGGTCCATTTAAGTCTAGTCTGGGACTGTAATAAGTCCAAGTAAAAACATCTTTGATGTAAACAAGTATTTTACATGGTATTTGACACATAATCCGAGTTACTTGCACTTGTCCTTCATGCTCTCATTTCAAACGGTTCATAAAAAAATCAGAACATCCACTTGTTGTGAAGGCATGAATAATCATAGCGTGCAAGATGAATGAAAATCCATATTTCGAGAATTCGAGGTCTTTCCAACTTGGACTTCTAAATGAATTAATTTATTTAACAGAATCATTACATTCTGAACATCTGGGGTGTTTGATGCATTTTGGGTCAGTACACAACCACACAATTCTAGGGAAACAAAATAAGGAAAAAAATATATGTAAGATTTGGAACAAAATAAAATTAAGACATAAAAATTTGGTTCCAACTTAATGAATCAAATTTAGATGATTGTTGATGTTACTTTATTTGCATATTTCCATTATATAAACACTAAGAAATCTTAATTATTTTTAATCAAATCTGATTTTTTTTTCATATTTTCAAAGGTAAAACCAAACATGAATGAACAACTTTCCTTAGCATTTTCCCCTTTCCCTTCCATTTTCCCTGACTACACACATAACCTTTACGGAGATGTTAAATGTTTCTCTAGTTGCTGATGTCCATCATTGCTTTCATATCTAGTAGTCCCGAGTCCAGATAACTTTGGTGCTTTGCTATTTTCAGTTTGACATATTTTTATTGGGAAAAGGTGCAAATAGGCCCATGTACTAATCAAAAAAGGTCAAATAAGCCCTTATTTAGGAGACTCTGTCCGGCCGTCGTCATTTGGGGTGGTTCCCGGTGGAATTGTTTGATGAAATTTTTTTAGCATCTTATTCATCAAGTCTAGTTTAATCATACCAAATTTCACCTAAAACTTCAATCGGGAAGGCATTCAAATGAATTTTTGAAGATAACTGCGCTTCTAACTGCACAATTATTTTCAAGAATTCATTTGAATGCCTTCCCGTTTGAGGTTTTAGCTGAAATTTGGTATGAGTAAACTAGACTTATTGAATAAGATGCTAAAAAAAATTCATCAAAAAATTCCAAACGGGAACCACCCCAAATGGCGACGGCTGGACAGAGCCTTCTAAATAAGGGCTTATTTGACCTTTTTTGGTTAGTACATGGGCCTATTTGCACCTTTTCCCTATTTTTATTTGATAGCAGTTCCTGATTTGTCGTAATATGGCCTACATAACCTTTCAGGGCTACGACATTAGTTTCCTCATAACTAACTACCATTGTGAGGAAATGCAGAAGCAGAAACTAATTGATTTTATAGTACAGTTCATGGAGGTAAGACAACTATGCTTATATACATTTGAGGAAAGAGTTTTTCATTTAACATGATGTCTGAGAGTTTTTCATTTAATATGCTTATTTTTATTTTGGTGAAGTATTAGTGAACAATTCTATTTTATTTTAAATTTTCCGTATTTTTTTGGGTAATTAAAATGACGCCAATGAAAAACTCAATTTGTTTCTTAGAAGAATGTTTTTTATTCTTTTGTACTGTGTATTTGAAATAGAGCTTTTTGTTGATAATTACTCCGTATAAATTAACTGCTATTCTTTGAAATTGACAGGACATTGACAAGGAGATTAGTGAACTCAAATTGTCAGTTAACACCCGAGGAAGACTTGTGGCTACTGAGTTTCTGAAGCAATTTGTCTGATATCTAGTAGTCTCATCGTTTTTCTCCTTTTTAACGCTTCCTATCTGCATATCTAAAGACACATTCTGTCCTTACCCTAAAGGCCTGAATTCAGATTAGATGTTCCCATCTTTGTTTAAATTCGATGTACATATAGGTTGCGCTCGAAAGTTTTTGCGTAAGCCTCAGTTTGGATTGATGCTATAAATGAGTATAAGACTATAAGTGAAATTACCAGATCCAAATTTTACCAGCTTATATAAATCGTCAACTTAATGTATGCTGAGTTTGTTAACACTTAACAATGCCGAGTCTTTTGTTGTTAATACCTTTGCAGTTAGAGCGAGAAACTAGAAAAATAATGTAATAAACTGGGAGTCAAAAATCAAAACCCTACGGGGTATTAAGTAACTCACGGGGTATAAAGTACGGAGTAAGTCTCAATCTGTAAAGTGAATGGAGCTTTAATTTATGAATGCATAAAACATTCCAAGACAGACACACGAGGTCCCACATCCTATATTGTGTGAAAAGTGCTTCCTAACTCCTAAGTGAAAAATAAAAATTAATTTTGATCATCAATCAGAAAACTTGAATGGAAGAGACCAAATTGTAAGTTTAAAAAGTGGTGACATTTTAATATTTAAGAACTTGTGATGAGAATATTGAAACAAATGTATTATGAATATATAAATAGTGCACATGTAGAGCACAAATGTGCATCCTAATACTTAAATAAAATGTGCACAAATTTAAAAGAGTTACAAACTTTTTTAAGACTTTTATTCATTAATTATCCACTTTGTACTTGTAAACATTTGCATAATTTTTTACATAGTATCTTGTAATTAAAGCCCATCTAATTCATCTATTTGCAAATGACTAAAGGTCTAGATTTATTCTAACTTTTTATATGAAGATTGAAGACTACTGTTTTATTTTATCCCACCTCGTATACTTTTATCCTATAATTTTATCCCACTTTTTATTTGGGATGTCATTAAACTTTCTTCACATTTCATTTTATAGAAAGGACCTGTAATTGATATTATTTTAACTTCTCCTTTTTACATAAACAGAGACCATCCGACCATTCAATTTCATTTTCCCAGTAAGCATGGTAAGTCAAATGGGGAAGTAAATTTTGGAAATTGAAACGGTTATAACTCATCATAAACACACATGGATGGTAGTCATGATACATTCATTGTTCAGTACGTGTGTTTTTTGCATGAGTTAGTCATTCTTGCAATCCTACTAATATGTATATGAACACAGGACATGATTACGCACACATATATAAAACTAAACAAATATATCCACATCTGTTAAAGAAGCAAAGAGGAAAGTGGGTTTGAAGGACACAAATGTGAAGGGTAGTTTAGCAGTTATAATATGCAAAACTTCAACTCTGAAACCCCATTCTAGAGGACGGTAGTTCTGCAGCTCCATCTGGAGCTAGTGCTTCATTTGATAAACTTACAAAAGTGATAAATGTTCAACCCAGCTTGCTTGGTGACCTCAATTTGATCATCATCATCATCATCATCATCATCATCATCATCATCATCATCATCATCATCATCATCATCATCATCATCATCATCATCATCATCATCATCATCATCATCATCATCATCATCATCATCATCATCATCATCATCATCATCATCATCATCATCATCATCATCATCATCATCATCATCATCATCATCATCATCATCATCATCATCATCATCATCATCATCATCATCATCATCATCATCATCATCATCATCATCATCATCATCATCATCATCATCATCATCATCATCATCATCATCATCATCATCATCATCATCATCATCATCATCATCATCATCATCATCATCATCATCATCATCATCATCATCATCATCATCATCATCATCATCATCATCATCATCATCATCATCATCATCATCATCATCATCATCATCATCATCATCATCATCATCATCATCATCATCATCATCATCATCATCATCATCATCATCATCATCATCATCATCATCATCATTACCCAGTGCCGCTAAGGCTCCCACCTACGGTGGAGTAGGGGGTGGGGGGTCGGATGTACGCAGTCTTACCCCTGCACTAAAGCACAAAGAGATTGTTTCCAAATGACCCATAGTGAGAATAACATCAAAAATTGCATGAACTGACTATTGCTTCATAACAAAGAAGCACAGACAGTTTAGTGAACTATTTTGCTTTATTTCATCATATTCCCAAGCAAAAAATAGTGAGTCTTTAGCTCCATTGCAATTGATGGAAAGGGTGACCTCGATTTGATCATACAATAAAATCTCCTGCCACATTGTTGGATGTTCTATTTTCCCCTTTATTGCATTACTCGATGCTTTGTTTTCCCCCTGTCTACACTGTCTTGGCCTGGCCATTTTGATGTATGCATTTGTTTATGAAATTCTACGTAATCATAATATGAATTCTCAAGTAATCAAGAGTGCATACTATCACTGCCCTGTCCCGATGGTGGTGGATTAGGTAATGTAACAGTGTCTAGGTTCACTACTCACTATCATACTAGTTTGCAATGACATCCTCTATTTCCGTTGATTCACAAGAGGTAAGTTTATTATAACTTTTATTTGTTTCCGAGTGGTAGTATACTGACATTAAAGCAGTCAATTGCTAGTGGCAATAACTGGAACCCAATGGTTGAAGTTCGGCAATGGTGGTGGAGCTCAATGGTCATTAGAGAGGATGAAATGTACTCCGTATATCTTTGGGAGAAGTACAATAGAACTGTATGACCAGAGTTACAAACACAAAAAATATCATCTTCAACACTTTCTAGTTTCTAAAAATAAGGACAGCAGTAGCAGTACGGCAGTGGTAGCAGCATGGTTGCTACTACCAGAAGTCGCCATCAACAGTGGTTGCTAGTTTGTTACAGTTCTCTTTTCCACAGGCCCGTGGAGTCTTTGAGGCAAGTGAGACTACTGCCTCAGGCCCCCAAATATTATAAGGCCTCATATTAGTAATTTAGTGTATTACATAGTACGTACTAACGTAGTAAACGTATTGCTTTGTATGGTCATTATATTGTTAGAAATATCTCAAATAAAACAAAAAAGGAAAAAGTCAATTCATGTCTTTAGGAGTTTTAACAATTTAACCCTCACCTACAAGTGATCCAACTTATCATCATAACTACTCCATCGCGTATGTAGGATGGAGTAACTATCAATTTGAAGCTCCTAAAACTTTACACTTCTCCATATTTTTCTTCTGCAAATATTTTGACCATATTTCACTTGATTGCATCCTGTTACTACATCTGAATTCTCTGTTGATTTGTGATCTCCATTATTCATATTATTATTAATCATTGCTTTTATATCCCGTATTTCTGATAAGGCTATATCAATTTAATCTATTCTTTCAAATCTTTGACTTCATAATTCATTTGTAATATGTTTAATTTTTTGGTTTTTTTATTTTAATCTTAATTTAATACTTTTTATTGTATCTAACTTTGTTCAATTAAATCATATATCATGTCTAATCGATAATACAATCGTGGGTTTAGTATCTATAAGCATAATCTGCTAGAACATTTAGAGTATACAACTTTAGTAAGTGATATTGCTACTTAAAAAGCAAGAAAAATAAATACCAAAAGTAAGTTCATTTAATTAGTACTTTTTCTCTGAATATAGGCCTCATTTAAAATTTTGCCCCAGGACTACATATAGCTCAACACGGCCCTGCTTTTCCATCCCTGCGGCCATTGAAGGCGGAATGCTGGCACTGGTGTCAATAGCGGTGCTACTGTCACGTGCCACTGTGGACTAGAGTGCTACTATCTGGCTCCACCGGCTCTTAACAGTATTGCGGCAAGCCGGCAATAGCAGTATTACTACAGCATAAACACAGTAACAGTCCTCCATAAGCAAAAAAAATCCTTAAATGTCTTGTTTCAAATTTTGTGGAGCTTTTTGTATAAGAGACTTTTGCCATTTTCATCTTAAGAGTAATTCTATTGCAGTGACATGAACTAAGGTTAATTTTGTGAGTTCACTAACCTTTTAGTCCTATAATTTATTCCGGTCCTATTTGTACACTTACCAATGTTTTATTCATATGGTAAATATCTCTAGCACAACCAGTTTGAACCTGAAGTACATGGAGGAATTACACCAGCTGGTTTCTAGCACTGATTTTTTTTTGAAAGAGCATAAGGGAGCATGTGTACCGGGATTAGATTCCCAAACAGGTCTGTATTTTCTCGTCAAAAGATAATACAATATGGATGTTGAATTGTGGCTTCACAAGTAGCCGATTTGTTGGCTGCAACACATATTTATTCAAAACTTCTTAGCTCAATGGCTAACTACTACCTAGAAATTAGAACAAAGATACAATGAGAAAACTGCAAGATTATGCTGATATGATCTTTCCAAAATAATAAGGTGAATTGGAGGTAACCTCAGGATGATGGTCATCTCAGTAATCAATCCGAGAAGCTCTAATTTGGCACCGCCATTAGCCCAGACATATGATAAAGCTTCATCAGGTCAGGAACTTCATTCTCATAGCGTTTCACATACTCCATTAGAAACTTCTCTTCAGGCGCTTTCAACATCCTAACAAATAGCTTTAGTTCCTTCTTAAATAAACCTTTGGAAGCCAATGTCTGATAAACAAGAGATCTAGGAATGATTCTCTTCTCCAAACTAAGCATTATAATCACAGGGTTACTCAAGACATCAGAAGGCTTTAAACCCATTTTGTTTACAAAAAATTCCATTGCCAGTAGAATCTTTTCTTCAGAACATGCCATAATCCAAGGGTTCTTCCCAAAAGCTTCACTAACCTGGTCCTCTGAAAGTCCCCACTTCATATAAGCATGTACCTTCTTCTCCCAAGTTAATTTACTCATGGAACAAAACACATGAACTGCAACCATAAATGTTCTTTTGGATGAATCAAACCCCATTCCCTTGATTTTTTCCAGAATCATTGTAAACTTTTCCTTATCCTTGATGAACAACCTAGGCTGGTTTTGGAAGCAATACAAGATGCTTGATTCCGGAACTGTCATTTCCCTCAGAAGGTGAATATTGGCTTCCACTGTAGCCTGGCATGACTCTGAAAAACACCAAGGAGTCCGCTTCAAGCAAACTATTATCTTTTCTGGACAATCAAAAAACTTTTTGAGGAAAGCTAAAGCGGGGAAGAGTTGATTCTTCAAACTTCTCTTGAAAATACTAGGGCATTCACACAGTACAGTAGTGTAGTCATCCTTAGTAAATCCTACGGATTTGAAATGCTCAATCTTGGGCAAAAGGGTATTTTGAGGATTACACAACAGGACTGGAGGGCATTTTCGGATTAATTTTGAGATCTGACTTTCTGTGAATCCGTGGGTTTTTAAGAACGAAAGCACAGATTCTGGTTTATCCGGGGATTCGAACTTCATATAATTGGAAGCTGAGAGAGCCTTTTCTGGAGCAAAACCACATCTATCTACAAGATAAGATGCCACAAATGAAGCTCTCTTCTTCGCTAGGCCCAAGGATTCATCTCCAGCTTTTGTTCGATACAACTTAAAAACAGTGAGCGAAGATCTAGCAGAGGACCTGACATGCGGAAATGTCTTAAAAATGAAATTGAACATTTGAGATATACTGGTTAGCTCGATTCAAAATCAAAGCTCTCCGGAAAAAGTGAATGAACAAATGTGATTTTGAAGAGAGGCAGCAGCGAATGGATACTCTTCGCTACCGGTAAGGAATAAAAATAATTCCCTTTTGTCTGAGTTTTTTTACGAATTAATGCGAATTAAATAAGTATTTACCGAAATAATGTCGGGTTAAAAGTATTTACAGATCTACTTTCATACGAAATATTTAATTCTGATTAGGAAAGTCGCCAAATCAACAAGTGGTGAGCATTCAGTCGGTCGGTCAAATAACCGACCGATAACCGAATAACCGACCAATGTTTTTTCCTCTCATAACTGAGTAACCGACCAACAACATTTCAAAAACCGACCAAAAAATGTCATTCGGTTTCGGTCGGTAACCGAACATAACCAACCAAAGCATATATTTTTCAAAATTATAAAAGCTGTGGATAGCACATTAATAAATAAATTAATACGTAGTAAATACCAAAATGGATTCAACATTTTAAATGTAAATAATTGTTCTTAGCACAATAGGATTACAAAAACTAAAAAATCCCACGTTGAAACTACTTCATTGTTCCACAATTGTCTTTTTCAATATGAAAACAAAATTAAAAAGGATATGTTAGCAAATAAATAAGCTAATATCTTATTAATCATTGCACCCCAAATGAGAAAATCCATCTAAAAGCTTCTGAATATTTTAAATCACACTAAAGAAAAAATTATAAATCAAAAGATCTGCCATGTTGAGTAAGATAATAAAGGATCTAGAAAACATTAAAAGAAAAAAGTGTGTATTGCTCAATGATTAAATAAGGACTTTGGCTGATTTTTCTCTACCAAGGTTGATTCATGCAGAACTAATTAAGGTGTACATGGAGGTTCGAAATTTTGAACAAGATGTTCCATGAATTGATTATAAGAATACAAGGTAAAGAGATGAGGAAGTGGATAATTGAAAAATGTGCTCCATAGCATTCCACTAATGAGTTTTGTAGGTGGAGTTCAATGGGTGTGGGTTGGACGTCATATTTCATTACTATGGAGTTCTTTTTTTATCGTTACTATGGAGTTATTATGGAGTATATTTACTTGAATATTTACAAAAAAAAACGGACGGTTATCGGTGACCGACCGATAGCCGACAAATAAAACCGAATAACCGAATAATCGATTATTTATAATTTATGATAACCGAAAACCGATTTTTTTGGTCAGTTCGGTCATCGGTTTTCAGTCAGGTCGGTTGAATCGGTTATTTGCTCACCCCTACAAATCGTTTGACGACTTATAAATCGCCAAACGGGATGACGACTTATAAGTCACCAAACGGTTTGACGACTCTCCCTCTAAACAGACACAAGGGTCGAGCTACGCCAGACAGAACACAGAAGTCTTCCCCAAAAAAACTTCCGCAGCAAAGAGGCAACAACAAGAAATAATCTCCGGCGACGCTCCATCTCCGTTGACTGCGACGGAGAGACACCTCCATCTTGCCAACAATATTTCACATTTTCACCTCCATCTTCTTCAACACTCTAGGTAAATAAAATCTCCATTTCATCTCATTTTTCATGTTAGGGTTTAGAATCTATAAATTTCGAATTTGTAAATTAGGAATTGATTTGTTGTGTAGTGTGGATATGTATGAAATGTTGAATTTTTTGTAATATTTTGATTTTGTTGTGGATTTATTGTGTAATGTGAATTTTAATGTAATATTAAAATTTTGTTTTTTGAAAATGTAATTTGTTGCTTTTGTTAAGTGTAATTATATCATATAGGATTAGCTTAAATATGAGAGTTTTTGAATATGTTGTTATGTGTATGAAATGATGAACTTGGGTGTATAAAGTTTGTATAATAATGTGTACTCATCAATTGTCGTCATGTATTGTTATTAGAATATGGATTTCTCCAACTTACCACTAGTGTGTCATTGAGGGGATTATTTGAGGAAGCTGTAGGAATACGCTATTAAGGTGGTAGGAAACAAATTGTAGTTGTTTCTTGTGGCACATGTATGCTAGAGATGTTGCAAAAAATATATGAAGCTATAGAGATTCCTTCGAACCATTCTTTGCAAGTGCAGGTGAAATATCCCCTTCAATTCACAGGGATCATACATGTTTATGCCACTTGATGATGAGGAAGTTGTCACGGGATCGTGGACGATAGTTCAGATGACTATGTCCATAATGGAGATATATATTGCAGATTCCATAGGTGACGCTTCTATAACTCCGTCAACATCAAATGATGTTGTATCTAGACATGGTGTCAATGCAGCGGACTCCTCAAATGATGTTGTTCTGGATATGGTTGTAGAGGAGGATGAGAGGTATTTGCACAATAGTGCATCCTTTTTGGATGGCCATGTAACCGATGATGATGCTGATGAAAACATCAATGATGATGGAATGACAAAATCAGATGAAGATGATGGTGACACTGTGACCGGAACTGCCCCGTCTAGCCACTATACTAGATTATATGATCTCCCATTCGGCTTTGATGATGCGTGGAGGAGTGGAACATGTGTGAAAAGGTTTGCACCAGACGTTGAGTTTGAGGTTGGGCAATAGTTTGACAACAAAGAACAACTCATAAATATGGTGAGATTGTATTCCATCAAACACAACCAATTTTATCGTGTGTTGGAGTCAAATAAACATAAATGGGTTGCAGAGTGCAAGAGAAAGAAGGAACATGATTGCACTTAGAGAATCGGGCCACAAAGAAACATGCAAGCCTTGACATGTTCACAGTTGTGCTGCAAGTTCACAGTCATATTGCGTTTGCCGATACTAAAGAGATTTGATGTAGCTGCACATTTCAGTTGAGGTAGTGCCACAATTGAAGATCTTCATAAGCTGGATAGGCGTGGGAAGCCTACATAGGATTGGTCGCTCAGACATGTCCGATACGTGGCTATATGGGAGAGGCGAGTGGAGCTTGTTGTGGCAGGGACGCCGACATTAGTCCCATCTGTTTCTGTAGACTACATGAGATGGTATTACAGCATCACGTGGTTGTTTGTCTCTCTTTCTTTCAGACTCCCTGTTCACCATTATCAGCCTAGTTCCATACTTCTATGGCTTTGCGCTTGACGGTGAGTATGCTCATAATTACTAAAGTAATTCACGTTCTTTATTTAACATTTTTTGTTTATTTCAAAATAATTATAATTCATGTTTCACATTTCAGACACGGGCGTTGCAGCGTATGCATGAGCGATACGCATGACGTGGGCACGTATGACCAGGTTCTGACGAGCATTGCGTCCTTCTGTTCGGATGTGTTGGGGCGAGTAGACTATGGCCATCTCATGCCCTCTCAGGAGTCTATGGCATCGACATCTACTGCAGCAGTGACAGAGTTGTTGTTCTACCACGTCAGCATATGCGTCAACAACCATAGCTCCATGACCACGACAACCAATAACACCTTGAAAACTTGTAGTTTGTCTCCATTATTGGACTTATTCATGTACCCCGAATGTTGTAGAATTTTTTGAATCTGTGAAACACTTTACTTTCTGACATACGTCCACCTGCAAAGTATTCGATTTTAGTTACTTAAACTTTTGTTTTTGATGTGTGTTATGTGTTGGGTTATGCAGAAGATGGGAAACGAAAAGTGATGCTTAGTTGATGTGTTCATGTGTTGATGTTATTAGTCTTATGTTTTTTATTTGTGTTTGTGACCAGGTTTTGTCAAACTGTCTTATGTTTTGATCTGGTTTTTGAAGTTTTCTAGTTTTTCAGGTCCAGAGGGAAAGTCGTTAAACCGTTTGGCGACTTATAAAATGTGTGAATTGTATGATATTAAATTGATAAAGTGTGAATAAAGTAAAAGTGAATTGTAGCCACAGAAATATTACTAGATATGGTACGAGACAAATTTAATTGGACAGATGAAAAGGATAAAATGAGACAAAGTTAGGGAGACGGATGGAGTATATAATACGAAGTACGTAGTAGAAAATTTTGAAAGTTCAAGAGGGCGATCACCCCCGCCCCCCTTAAATCCATCCCTGTGCTAAGAAATTTTTGCGTTAGCTTCAATTTGGATTTATGCTGTATAAGACTATGACTTTTATGAGTGAAATTACCATATTCTAATTTTACCAGCTTAGAAATCGTCAACTTAATGTATGCTGAGTTTTTTTTTGCCCAATGGTTAAAGTATCTGCCGTTCCAGTGAGAAATTTTTCAATCGGTATATGGAGCTTTAATATATGAATACGTAAAACATTCCAACACACTCACATGAGGGCCATGAGGCCCCATACACACATATAAAAAGTGCTTCATGGTTGAAAAATAAAAAAGTGCTTTCTTCAAATAAAAAGTGCTTCTTAGGTGAAAAACAAGAACTGGTCATTGATATGAAAAATTGGATGGAATAGATCCATTTATAAGCTAGAAATGTGATGGCATTTTGATAATTATAGTGAACTTTTAATGAGAATATTGTAATAAATGTGTACTTTTTTTTGAAAGGATAATAAATGTGTACTTGAATATACAAAAAGTGTACGATGTGCATCACAATACATAATAAAATGTGCACATGTTTAAAAAAGTTGCAATCTTGTTTAAGACTTTTATTCATTAATTATCACAAAATCTTGTGATTAAAGTTCATCTAATCCATATATTTACTGGTGATTAAACGCTAAAATTTGTTTTCACTTTTCATATGAAGACTACTTTTTTATTTGAACCCACTCATGTAGTTTATACTACGTATTATTTTAACTTTCTCCTTTTTACAAATTGAGACCATCCGAGTATCCGACCATACAGTTCATTTCCTGAGTAAGCGTGGTAAGTCAAATGGGGAAGTAAATTTTGGAAATTGAAATGGTGATAACTCGTCATAAACACATATAGATTATAGTCAAGATACATTGATCAGTATGTGTATTTTTTACATAAGTTAGTCATTCTAGTAATCCTACAAATATGTACAAAAAATCAAAATTCTAATATTCATTATACACACACACATCTTTATATATATAAAGAGAACAAAAGAAATCTATTTGGAGCCAAATGAAGTGAAAATTTGTTGTAACTATTAATGAAGCATTACTTAGTGAAACCATATTAACTGCCAACCTAATTAATTGTTGTAAGTTATAAATAAAACTTTAGAAAATTATATTGAGCATAAATTCATTAAATATTAAAAAAATATTAGAAAAATATTAAAAGATACATATACATAATTAATTAAGAGACATAATATAATAAAGTTAAAAATAAAATGGTGTAATTTCTGAATATAAAATAGAGTATTACAATATACTCCCTCCGTCCCTAAAAGGATTGCCAAGTTTGACCGGCATGTAGAATAATAAAGTAAAAATTGTGTGGTAGAGATTTGTGCAGAAGAGAGAGAAATAACAAGGGCCACAAATTGATTGATTAAAATGGAAAGTGGCAAAGTTTTTGGGACAACCAAAAAAGGGAAGTTGACAAAGTTATAAGGGACGGAGGGAGTATTTGGATACAAATATTATGTAAAGGACAATGATAATACTCAGTACCCCCGTTAAATGTGTCCAGAATTGACTTGCATGTGGAATATAAATAAAGTAAAAAAATACTTTGTATGTGATTGAGATTTTTACAAATCAATTGAGAAAAATAATTTACCTACACATTTATTAGTTTAAATGGAAATGAAAATTTTTGTTGGGGCAACTGCAAAAATAAAGTTAGCACAATTTACCGAGATGAGGGAGTAATTGTTTTTTATAATTAGCTACAACATAAAATACAAAAAATCATTCATTTAATTCTACTATAGCTATTCATTAGTAAATAAGTAACTATTTTAAAAATCCATTGAAATCACAATTTTAAATAATGGTTCCCAATTTCGAAATGATTTTTAGCATTTCCAATTTTGTTTACGAGTCAAATTGGTTGAATGATATTGATCTGAATTATACAATTTTACGATTCAACTCACGATTTTAACAACATTGATATGTAGTTCTTAGAAAACATATAGTGAATTTAACAATCTTGATATGTAGCTTTTATAAAACATATACTGAGATGAATGAAGAGATATTATGGAGTATAAAATAAATATTTTCACTTTTTAGATGGAATATATTTAGAAACTTTAAAACACAACAAGATAGTAAAAAGTAATGTCATGTGTTGAATAATCATCATAATTATAACTAAACAATACTAGGTATGAGATTGTAATATGTTAACAATTGTTATCACCTTCATTAGACAAGATATAGTAGGGATGAAAGAATACTTATTTGGTAGTTTTATACTAATTGGTGTATCTCTAAGAGACTAACAATTATCATACATGTATTCTAATATAATTCTATATCATGTTTTTATTTTTATACAATAAGTATGTATATACACATTACTCATGAAATAAATTATTTGTAAAAATAAATTGATTTCATTTGTTCTCCGTGCAACGCACGGGTGGATTGACTAGTAAAACTAATGCAAAGAGAGGAAAATGGGATTGAAGGACACAAATATGAAGGGGTAGTTTAGCAGTTCTTATATGCAAAACTTCGTCTCTGAAACCCCATTCAAGATAGAGGTAGTTCTGCAACTCCATCTGGAGCTAGTGCTTCATTTGATGAACATACAAATGTAAAAATTGTTCAACCCTTGGTGACCTTGATTTTTGATCATACAATAAAATCTCCTGCTATATTCTAGTGCAGTTTTTTATAAGCATGAGAACATATGTTCGGTGATGTTGGATGTTTTATGACTTTCTCAAGTAATAAAGAGTGCATACTCTCACTGCCCTGTCCGGATGGTGGTTCCTGGTGGGTTCAGTAATGTAACAGTGTCTATGCTCACTGCTCACTATCATATTTACTAGGCCACACATACTTCCACCATCATACTAGTTTGCAATGGCATCCTCTATTTCCGTTGATTCACAAGAGCCAAGAGGTAAGTTTATTATTATTTTTATTGGTTTCAGAGTGGCAATGAACTAACATTAAAGCAGTCAATTGCTAGTGGCAATAACCGGAACCCAATGGCCGAAGTTTGGCAATGGTGGTGGAACTCAATGGTTATTAGAGAGGATGAAATGTATATCTTTGGGAGGAGTACATTAGAACTGTATGAACAAAGTTATAAACTTAAAAAATATCATCATCATCACTTTCTAGTTTCTACAAATAAAGACAACAGTAACAGAACGAAAGTGGTAGCAGCATGGTTGCTATTACCCGGCGTCGCCACCAACAGTGGTTGCTAGTTTGTTACAGTTCTCTTATCCATCCCCGCGGCCGTTGGAGGCAGAATTGCTAGTCTGGCACTGGTGTCAATACTCAATAGCAGTGCTACTGCCATGTGCCACTGTGGCCTGGAATGATACTCTCTTGGCTCCACCGGCTCTTAACAGTATTGCGGAAATAGCAGTATTACTACAGCAGAAACACAGTAACAGTCCTCAATAAGCAAAAAACCTTAAATATCTTGTTTCAAATTTTGTGGAGCTTTTTGTATAATAGATTTTAGCCATTTTTATCTTGAAAGTAATTCGGTTGCAGTCAGATGAACTAAGGTTTATTTTGTCAGTTCACTAACCTTTTACTCTTTTTTAGTCTTATAACCTATTCCGGTCCTATGTGTACACTTACCCATGTTTTATTCATATGGTAAATATCTCTAGCACAAGCAGTTCGAACCTCTGAAGTATATGGAGGAATTGCTCCAGCGTAGTTTCTAGCACTAATTTGTTTTTAAAGAGCAGAAGGGAGCATATGTACCGGGATTAGATTCCCAAACAGGTCTGTATTTTCTGGTCAAAAGATAATACAATTTGGATGTTGAATTGTGGCTTCACAAGTAGCAGATCTGTCTACTGCAACACATATTCATTTAAAACTTCTTAGCTCAATGGCTTACTACTACTACTACCACCTACTACCACCTAGAAGTTAGAACAAAGTTACCATGAGAAAACTGCAAGATTATGATCTTTCCAAAATAATAAGGCAAATTGGAGGAAACCTCAGGAAGCCTGTCATCTCAGTAATCAATACGAGAAGGTCTAATTTGGCACCGCCATTGGCCCAGACGTCTGATATAGCTTCATCAGGTCAGGAACTTCGTTCTCATAACATTTCACATACTTCATTAGAAACTTCTCTTCGGGCGCTCTCAACATCCTAACAAGTAGCTTTAGTTCCTTCATAAATAAACCTTTGGCAGCCAATGTCTGATAAACAAGAGATCTAGGAATGATTCTCTTCTCCAAACTAAGCGTTATAATCACAGGGTTACTAAAGATATCAGAAGGCTTTAAACCCATTTTGTTTACAAAAAATTCCATTTCCAGTAGAATCTTTTCTTCAGAACATGCCATAATCCAAGGGTTCTTCCGAAAAGCTTCACTAATCTGTTCCTCAGAAAGTCCCCACTTCATATAAGCATGTACCTTCTTCTCCCAAGTTAATTTACTCATGGAACAAAACACATGAACTGCAACTATAAATGTTCTTTTGGATGAATCAAACCCCATTCCCTTGATTTTTCCCAGAATCATGGTAAGTTTATCCTTATCCATCATGAACAACCTAGGCTGGTTTTGGAAACAGTACAAAATGCTCAATTCCGGGACTGTCATTTCCCTCAGAAGTTGAACGTTGGCTTCCACTGTAGCCTGGCATGATTCTGAAAAATACCAAAAGTTCCGCTTCAAGCAAACGCTTATCTTTTCTGGAGTATCAAAAAACTTTTTGAGGAAAGCTAAAGCTGGGCAGAGGTTATTCTTCAAACTAATCTTGAAAATTTTAGGGCATTCACAGAGTACAGTAGTGTAGTCATCCTTAGTGAATCCTAAGGACCTGAAATGCTCAATTTTGGGCAAAAGAGTATTTTGAGGATTACCCACAAGGACTGTAGGGCATTTTCGGATTAATTTTGAGATCTGACTTTCTGTGAATCCGTGGGTTTTTAAGAACGAAAGCACAGATTCTGGTTTATCCGGGGATTCGAACTTCATATAATTGGAAGCTGAGAGAGCCTTTTATGGAGCAAAACCACATCTATCTACAAGATAAGATGCCACAAATGAACCCTTCTTCGCTAGGCCCAGGGATTCATCTCCAGCTTTTGTTCGATACAACATAAAAACAGTGAGCGAAGATCTAGCGGAGGACCTGACATGCGGAAATGTCTTAAAAATGAAACTGAACATTTGATTTATGCTTGCCAGATCGATTCAAACTCGAAGGTTCACCGGAGAAAGTGAATGAACAAATTAGATTTTGAAGAGTGGCAGCAGTGCATGATAGGGCTGGACAAGAATAACCCAAACTCGCATAACCCGCCCGATCCAACCATACTCGACCCTATTTAATCGGGTATTTGATTATTAAATATATTCATGCATTAAATATGTTTGAATCCGCACCTAATGAGTAGGGTTGAGAAATTAAAATCTCAAACCAGATAGTACCCGACCCGACCGAAGTTCATTTTATTATTGTTGTTGTTGTTGTTGCTCTTATTATTATTGTTGTTGTTGTTGTTGTTATTATTATTATTATTATTATTATTATTATTATTATTATTATTATTATTATTATTATTATTATTATTATTATTATTATTATTATTATTATTATTATTATTATTATTATTATTATGGTACAACGTTTTCTTGAATAATTTCAATTTAAGGCCAATGTGCTCTATCGAGGCCTTTATGATACGGAGTATTAGAATTATAATTAAACATTTATCATTTTGACTAGGTGATTATTATATATTTATGTTTCCTTCTAAATGAACTTCTTTTACGGAAGAATGTTTTAATATTATTACCTACTGTTTTTGCTTATAAACGATACGAATACTTGTATTTGTTTGCGTGTTTTGGAAAGAAGTTAATCGAGTTTTGAATTGGTCACATTAATTTCCCACATGAAAGATACAACCCGAAGTGATTTTTTCCCCAATACCTGACCCTACCCGACCCGTTCATGCATGGTTTACCGACTTATTTTGCGTACCGCGGGTTGGTTAATAGTCAACCCGAACAAATCGGGTAGACCCAAAAATATAGCAAGTCCGACCCAACCCGACCGATGTGCACTCCTAGCACATGAATCCTCTACTCTTCGAGAGACTTTTTTTGGAGACTTAAATCGATATTATCAAAATTCGGGTAGTGTCTAATATTTCCCTTCATTATCATGTTTTACGATATTCAATTCATGATTATTTAATTCTCAATAATGTCACACACTTATTCATGACTAAGAAATAAGAATATGTCTCGTATACTCCAAATCTTTCCGTACCTAACCTTGAGATTTATTACGTAGTAATTGTTAAAGAATATGTTACAATTTTGAGAGTATTTTTTATGATAGGTTTAAATTTTCACATAGATTGAGAACGAGATGTACACATGAGATGTAAATGTCATTGTTCTGAGTTGCCACTAGACATATTCTTGCTCCAAATTACATGATTTTCACTCGTGAAAATTAATTAAGTTTTGTCTATAGTACACAACGAAATTGTTAGAGTCTCAACCTTGAATCTTATCTTGGTAGTTGGAAGACCAAATGTTCTTAAGGAATATCAAAGCTCAGCCGCTCAGGTGACATCGATTCCTTTTGTTTGGACATAGTATATCCGACTTGACTACAAAATTATAATTGGAATGTTCTTTTTCTTCACCTAAAATATTAAAATATTAGTATGTTTAATTTAAACTGTTACTTTATTTAGTTTTTAATGTGTAAGTAATCTACTTAAAATATCACCAGGTGTGAGGAATGAAAATATTTCTTGATTTCATCTGCAGCTTCTATAGCTGATGTCAAAAGATCTACACTTTAAGAATGCCTCATTTTAGTGCTCCAATCAGTTATTATATGTGCTATTAAATATTATATTTGTTGTATCATCAAATTATCTGAATGTGTCATTGTAATGGAAATGAATAAGAAATGTATAATGCAAACTTACTCGTCTATTATATCATTGAACTATTTAAACTCAAAAAATTGTGAAAATATCATCAACAACTTGATGTATAAGTGTTCTACCACTTGTGAGTTAGAGCTTAAATGAATTATGTGAATTTCTTATAGGTGTCCTTTATTGCACAGTAGACTATAGTTAGGATCTCCAACTATATTGAAAATGAATAAATTGATTGGTCCAATAACAAACATAACAAATAAATAAATTAAGAATGCTAGCTTAAATTTCAGACAAAAATTGATAAATGCAAAAGATTAAGTGAGAATTACAATACTACGTACAAAAAATAGAACGATCCAAATCTTGGTTGTATGTCTGGGCGAATCCTTTCCACCGTAATTTTAAAAGTATTTTCTTTGTTAGCCCTTCTTAATTCTGCCGCAGTAAGGTATATTGTTTTGTGGCATTACCTTCAACAATTTCTCTAGCCATTTTGATGACCTTCCAAGCCCTATAAGGTGCAATACCAGCAGCATACTTCCTCCTCACCTCGTTTATAAGCTTGTACACTAACATTCTCAGATGATATTAGTTTCTCAGCTACAGGTTTGGACAACCACTTTGAATTGACATTTTGTTGTTGAAAACCCAACCACATGTGTGTTTACCTACATAGGTTTTCATCCTATACGTGTGGTTGTCCCTCTCTTTGCTCACAAATGCAGTAAAATCACATTTAGTCTTACAAATTGCTCTAGCTCTAACTTTGTCATTCTTCACAAACCTAATCTCCTTTCCATTTAATACTGAGTGCTCAAGAATTGTTTCTTTAAACTCTGAAATAGACTTGAACTCCAAACCAACCTTAGATTTATAGTTCTTGTCCAATTCTTCTTTTTCTAAATATCGGAAACCTCTTCTTCACAATGGAATCTGATTCTGATTCACGCTCAGAAATATACAATTCGTCAGATTGATATTCATCTTTTATCGATCTCATGGCTATAAAACTCATCATTTGCCTCTGGAGCACTACATGTATCGTAGTTTGGCTGGTCTTCATGCACAACAACTATTTTACCATTTCTTCTAGCTGACTTTGTTTTAAGTTTGCATCTAAGACCATTAAAGTCAATACTAGAATGTATTTCTGTAGGAATTTCATCAATAAAACAATAATCAAACCCCACGGATCTTTCCTCCCCGCTATCATCAAAATGAATAGCATTTGCATCTTCTTATCCATCTCTTATCCATCCGCTCTCTTACCTTTACCTAATTGCCCCCCCCCCCCCCGATCGAAACCGGCTCTCTTATCCATCTGCTTCTTCAATCGATCACAATGATTTTATCCTCGTGGATCGAGCTCCTCGACTCCAAATCGTGTTTGATTCCTCCTTCTAACATGGACCACTCCTCCCGCACTTTGTTTTCTTCTCCTCATGCACTATGTTTTTACAATTAATTACACATAAGTCAAAAAATTTATAATATTATTGCATCTATCAAAATATCATGATTTTTTTAAAAATCCATTATTATGTAATTTTTCTTATCAATATTTCATTCCTCGTGATATTTTACTATTGTTTCCCCCCATATTTTACACTTTCAAATTTAATCTGCCATTATTTTAAATACATGTTTTATTTCAAATTTAATCCCCCATATATAACTCGCACTAAAAAATGCGTAGTAATTTAATTCGCTAATCACTGATCAGGCAAGTTCCGCTACAAAAACTGCCCTACGAAAAGATCACAACATGTGTCCAACAAACAACCACAAAGAGCGACTTAAATTACTACCATCCCGACAAACATTAATTATGAAAAACACTATGACAAAAACGATTTATCTGCTCAGTAAGCATACAATAATATCATTCTAATAGATCATTCTATTTCTCTACTGCATTCAATATTATTGTCTAAACATTTATTCCGCTGTTGTGTTTGGTACACTTTTCAATTTAATGGAACTGGCTGGTTATGAACTTGAATGAGTTGAATCCATAACTTCAAAAATGTTAACGAAACTTTCAAAGGTATATCATCATGTCTTAATTCATGCAAAAGTACCAGATTCTAATCATATAACCACGGGTCATATTCAATAACATGTTTCATCTCAATTTCATGATAAAAAGAGAAGACGTGCATCTCATCACCGATCTCCTTAATGGCAACTCCTATGCTATGCCTCATTGCCTCCAAATGGAAACCAACGTTTCTCTAAACACCGTGAACTTCACTCTCTTCATGGTAAATATTTACTATACGGTGATCTATACTATGGTACCCTTGTACCGTCTTCATGGTAAATGGTAAATAATATTTACTCTCTTCATGGGCAAGATTTTATGAAAAAAATCATAAGTAGCTATTCAATTTTATAGTGGAATCTAGCAAGCCTCCCTAGCCACGTCTTTCCTCTCAGTATCACATACGACAACTACAATTAGTATCACTTTCATCGGCAACCACATGAGAATTCTCATTAGTGGCTTCATTCT